AGTCAGTGGATTAAGAGGTGATCAGAGTAGGTACTACCAGTGTGAACTGAATCCAAAGTATAGTACTTACCACCTGATGTTTTCCCATCAGTGACTAAGCTACATGTTCACATAAAGAAATTACGCTGTGTGCAGAGTGCACACAGGCCCCATGCACAGGACAAACACAGGCATATATACCAGCTTCAGGTCTCACCAGGTGTGTTGAGGAAATACTGTTTTCTGAACACTTGCAGTGAAAATGCTGAATAAACCATATCAAATGGGTTAGACTACACAGTTTATTTTAGGCTTATAATTTACGGTAACCTTTGGGAACTATATGGAAAGCTGTTCATTTGACACACATCTTTTAAATACTTTCTGTATACCTAGCATTGTGCCTATCCCTGTGGAGAAGAGAATTACTCTTATTATTTGGGTAACTAAGTGGAGGTTTTTGACCATCCTCTGGACCAAGAGCCAAGACACTAGCAGCCATGGCTGGACTCAGCAGGGAGGAATTTGGCTCATATTTATTCTTGTGAGTTGCTTCTTGAGCTGCAGATGTACCTGTGGTCTCTTCTTCCCAGAGGCCTGACGAAAGTGGTTGTGAGGTTGGCATGTCTGACCCCCACACCCCCAAAAAGTCATAGTTTAGTAGGCTATGCATCCCCAGCTCTCTACCATGCCAGGCAACCCTCTCAGCTTGTTCTTCCAGATTATCAGGTGGCTTGTTCTTCAAAAATTCAAATCAATTTGGATGGTTTTCCATTACCCCCTTGTGCTCCAGTGGAGCAAATCAGCAGAATCTCCTCAAACATCCAAGCCCCCCTCCCCCTTTCCCTATCCCATACACTCACTTCTCTCCTAGTCCTCCTGGGAAAGCTTCTACCCTGGGAAGCCTCCCTTGAAGGTGTTACATCACACAGAAGGCATTAGGACCTTGGCACTTGGCCATGTTTAAGCCTTAGTCTTTGTTCCCAGAATGAGCCATGCTAGTAGTAAGCAGTGTGCTTTCATTTTAGCCAATGGACAGTGAGAAGGAACTCATTCAGTTAATACTTTCCCTGTCACTGGGCTGCACAGATATGGTCTGTGAACTTCCAAAACTCTGCACCCCTCACATGTACATGTGCCAGAACAGGTCTCTCAGCCTCAGTTCTCCTCCTTTCCTTATCATCTACCTCCCTTAGGAGAATAGTGTACTCCAAATCAGAAATGTTCCCTCAGGAGCGGTTGCTTGTCTTTGCAAAATTATAGAAGCATCCAAAATGTTTAATTTTTCATAATGTTGTTTCAAATATTGTACTTTGCAAATGCAGTTGAAAATGTCAGTGGGAACGTTTTTAATTTGCTTTGGTTTGTTTTTCCCCATGAAGCAAAATGCCTCCTTTGTTATAATCTAATTCTAATTGTATCACTATAAGCTTTGACACAAGGCAAGAATCCCTGTTGCTCAGTATTGTCTACTGAAGGCCCCTTTGTAGAAGAGGGGATTTTCCACAGAGAAATGATCCCTTCCTGGAAGAGCACCATGGGGTGCTTTCATACAATGTCTTTCAAAGTGCAACTGTTTGGGATCTAGAGGTCTAGTTGTGGAAGAAAGGACGCATAAAGAAGAACAGGGAATGCACTAATGAACCTATTTCGATGGCTTGAAATAGGCAGCGTCTCTGTAGAATCATGAAAGATATACATATGTATCGGTATATTTTGGTATATGTATGCATGTATGCATTTGTGTATGTATGTATATACACACACATATGTTTCCTGATTGGTGAAAGGATTAAAAGCAAGGACAACTGAACTGCAATGAGTAGTCTAATACCCTGACATTTGTCTTGGATACCATTCCCCGAGAAAGGAACCAGAAATCTTTGGAAAAATGTGATTCCAGGCTGGGGCCGGATCAAGATGGACTTATAATGTATTATGCCAGGAAGAAAGGAAGTGCTCCTGTTAAGGATGGGACATGTCATAGGACAGAAGATTAAAGGGGGCCCACTGGCCACATCTGGCATAATTCAAACACCCAAATTATTTAGTGCCAGTGCTGACTAGCAGACCCTGAGCAAAGGATGAATAGATTCGCCTGACACACGTTTCTGTGAAGAGAAAGCTAAGGGGCTTGTTTGGCTTTAGAAACCAAAATAGCCCCGATTGCCTGCCTCCTTAGCCTTTTATTGTCAGAACAGCTTGAACTAAAATTAACCTTGAGATACAATCAACAGGGTAAGCATTCTTGAGAAAGCACATGCTCACAAGGCTAGTTATAAAGACTAAACATAAAGATTCCAGCAAAACACCCGGGGGATCAGACTTGTTTGGAAAAGTCAAGGTAGGGGCTGCCGCCTCCGGCACGGTCCCTGACCTTTCGGAGAATCCTCCTCACAGACTTTCCAGCCAAGTCCTGTGCTTCCTCACAATTAAGAACAATAATAAATTGTAGACTATGATAAGGAACCCATGTCCCCATAACAATAATAGATACATCAATAGAGAAAAATACCGACTCTTGCTTATAATCGAATGCTGAGTGGCAAGGTGCTAATTCAGAAGTGCTTGAATGGAAAAGCAATCACCCTGGTAAATACTGACTCCATCAAGAGCCATGAGTAGATGCTGACTCTAAGGGAAGCTGCTAAAGAACATGATGTTTACCTGGTCCTGCTGTAGTCATCTCCCCGCAGATTGCTTATTAGCTGAAATGGTGGAGCAGGGCTCAGAGTCCGGTTGGGAATGCAGGGTGGGCAGTTAGTTCCACCATGGAGAAACCTGACAGCACCGTGACCAGGTACCCAACATTCACATCCGAGTGACTGAGAGAGGTCTTGTGCCTCTGAGGTGATGCCCTGAGGAGGACAGACATATCTTCATGTTTCATCCCCGGCTGGAATGTATAACCTAAATTTAACATGAAGAAACATTCTATTAATTAAAAAAAGACTATAGTCTGCAAACATACGAATGGCTTAAAGATAAAGAAAAAATCTGGAACTGTTTCAGTTTAAAGCAGACTGAAGGGGCCAGCTAAGGAAAAGGTAGAGAAATGTTACATCAGTAACAACACTGGGTCAGTTGGCATGATTGCAATACAGATGAAGATTAGATAAAACTACTGAATGAATATGAAATGCACTGAAGTTAATAACTATATTATTCACGTACACATTAGCTCTTAGGAAATATGCACTAAAATTTACAGGTAAAGAGCTAAGATGTGTATAACTTAATCTGAATAGAGAAATATATGTATATATATATGTATATATATGTATATATATTCTTTCTATCAAGAGAAAATAGATAGTCTCAAAATATGTATTTATATAGGTTATAGGTAGAATTTATCACTTACTACACATAATATATATATATATATATATATATATATATATATATATATATATATATAATAGGTGGTAATACAATCTATAAATACATATAGAAAGAAAGACTACATATGTATATTGAGGTAGATAATGATAAAATATACAGAGCAATGTTAACAATGGGTATATCTGGATAAAGGAAATGTGGGTGTTCTTTGTATTACTCTCATTGTTAAAATTGTAGGTTTAAAATAATTTCTAAGTAAGTTTTGAAGAAGTTCTTAACAGTCATTTGTAAGGGTGAAAAGAATGCTATTGTCAGTAATAATGGTTCTCAAGATTTGAAAACTGGTGGGAAAATATGTGAAAGTGACATAAAATGTGTGTTTCTGACATGAATATATTTATTTTCCCAAAATGAATGTGTGAGCAGTAATGCCTTAAGGTTGTTGGGTTTCATGGAACAAATTCTGAAAAATGATCCTAAGACATAGGTGCCAGGCCGATCTTAGAAAGGTATCATTAGATGTGTCAGCCATATGATAATTTGATATGGAAGTTCAGACTCACAAAAACTATAATATGGACCTTAAATGTACAGCTGTCCAAAGCTAGGTGGTACCCAAAAACATACACGGCATGCTCAGTTAACATAATTACACTTGCAGTGCTAAGACTTTATTTATTTTAGATTGTAATAGTATGGCTATTTTCCATTTGTCATTCACAATCCATACATGTTATATTTAGGTATATTTGCATAAACAAAAAAAATTAGGCACAAGTTCAACATTTGCAACGCTGGAATCTGAAGGATTTTCTTAACTCATTTTGTACCCAGACCTGATCTTATGCTAAACTATGGGTAGTCTTTAATAATTCTATTAGGTGTAAATATTATATATTTTGTTGCAAATATATGATTTGGTAACAGGGTACTACCACAGACCCAACCAGGGATTTTACATAAAACTCCGCATTCCCACCATGTTAGCTTTCTAACATTTGAAAATTTCTTGATCTTAAAATACATCTGGACACAGTGTAGGCTTAAGTAAATGTAGACCTGTGCTGTCCAATTATGCTGATGTGGAAGTTACCCTTGATTGAATTAACAGTTATGAGAGTAAATGGAATACTAGAAAGTAAAATGGAAAATTAAATCCTGCAATTGATATAAAGGACCCAGAATTGGGCAAGACCTTCAAATGCTGACTAAAGACAATAAGTGTGGTCAATTATCCATAGCCGTGCTGCTGACTGGCATGATAAGTGGAGCCAAGATGCCCAAGTATTCTCATGGTAGTTTCTCTTTTCCCTCCGCAGTCATTAGCAAGACATAGGCAAAGCCACACTGGCACGGTGGAACTTTCTCCACATGAAGAATTTTTATTAAAAACCCTCTTTTCCTCCTATTATCCTAGTTGCTTATACTCCTTGACCAGTTTCTTCAACTGTAAAATGAAATAAGAAATGTAGATGAATATAAGTCCTCTTCTGAATATGAAAATGAGAAATAACTCTAAAACGTTACTACATGTATTTTATGGTTTTATATTCTTATTTTGTATGGTTTTAAAGATACTACATGCTGCTATAATTTCCTCAAACCATAAAATATGCAATTCTGAATGTTTGGAGAAAGAGAACCCTCTTGTACTAATTCATTTCTCTTGTACACAGTGCAAGTTCCAGGGCCCGTAGAAAACCTGCAAGCTGTATCTACCTCACCTACCTCAATTCTTGTTACCTGGGAACCCCCTGCCTATGCAAATGGTCCAGTTCAAGGTTACAGATTGTTCTGCACTGAGGTGTCTACTGGGAAGGAACAGGTAGGCAAGGGAATGGGTCCCACTGCTGCCACTTGTTGGTTTGGCTCTAGGGCTGGAGAAATGGGTGCTTGTAAGCTACTGATGTCCAGTCCAGTGTCCAGAATATTAATTAATCAGCTGATCAGTTTTTAAGTACCTGTTACTTGAGATGTTAAGCAATTTAATTGAATTCTGGTGCTGAGAGAGGCCAATGGGTAATGAGATGAATTGGAAAGGATACCAATGTTTTGTGTGAGTATGTATGATAAGTGCCCAGGCCAGTGGAACCACATTTGTATTAACCCATCTGGTCCCAGGAAGCATTTGTATTGGCAGTCCTTTCCTTAAGGGAGAATTTATCTTACTGTCAATGTCATCACCCAAGTTGCTATTTTCATTCTTATCTATTTGATGGTGTGTCTGTCTTCTCTCCATATCAACCTGTCACCTGTCACTTTTTTTTTTCAGTCTACCTTACTCCAGAAGGCTACCTGTCTCCTTCTTACATTTCCCCTAATCTGTGGTTAGTACAGACATCTGAGAATAAGCCAATTGGATTTCAGATAAAGTAAGAGTGACAGTGTTAGGGAGACTCGTGAGATTCAGCAGTTCTCCTTTGTGACTGATATGACTATTGCTATTTTTCCATTGACTTTTAGAGAGAGGGAAAAGGAGAGAGAAAGAGAGAGAGAGAGAGAGAGAGAGAGAGAGAGAGAGAGAGAGAGAGAGAGACAGAGACAGTGGTGTGAGAGAGACACATTGATTGGTTGCCTCCTGTACACACCCGACCAGGGCTGGTAAACCTACAACCAAGGTATGTGCCCTGACCAAAATCAAACCCAGGACCCTTCAGTCCATGGACCGACACTCTATCCACTGAGCCAAACTGGATAGGGCTTATGACTATTGGGATGTTTACTTCCAGATTCTCAAATTCACGTGGGAAAAATTGTATTGGCAAGCATGTAGTTAAATGGGAAAGACAGAGAGATGACCATGGGACAGCCGAGATCTTAGGTCATTGTGAAGTTTCCAAGCCTACTGTGGTCTTCGTGCTTCCCCATAAGCTGTGTGATAGAGGTTTTTTCATTTAAAAGCTGTTTTTGCAGCAGTTTTATTCAGAAATAGTTCTAATTCCCAAGTCATGTTGTAAAATAAGAATCGCTAAGAGTCCCTCCTATGTAATCATTTGTTCCACTCTCTGTGCTTGCCCTTTAGCTCTTAGTTTCATCTTTCTATTCTATCTACTTTTCTACATATTTTAGCTCTTCAATAATGCATATCACCAATCCATTTAAATAAATCCCAAAATGATGTTAGCCAAGATAGATGTGAGTGAGAGGATCCTAGCGGAGAGCTAAATAATGGGTCTTCTGGAGCAAACTGGCTGCGATTGCTCAGTGACCTTGACCTTCAGCACCTCATTTCTGCAGTGCTGAAAGGCTGAAAGCAACCCCCAGCCTGCCTCACAGCATCCAGGCAGACACAAATGGTGGCAAACTCTCTGTCAGTTTCAAGAGACAGAGAGTCTATTTCCACTAGGGAGGAAGGAAGTCTGCTGATTCCCGAAGAGCTACCCACTTAGGGTGCAGGAGCAGCACTCTGTTCCCCTGAATGTAATGGCTGCCTCCTGCTTGTCAGGGTCTCAGTGTGGCCACTCTATTCAACACCTTAGGTGGTGTTAAACAGATTGGAACTTAATGTCTGTGAAAGCAGCACAGTGCTGTTTTCACCAGGAGTCTGCAGAGAGGTCTGGGCTTCTGTGGGAGAGCTAGTGTCCCAAGCAGATTTTACAACAATTCATTCCAAGTGTAGTGGTGAGAGTAGGAGACTAATATCCAATTTACTGACTAATCAGAATGGCTGCTATTTCTACTTCCATGTGCCTCCTGAATAACAGTTGTTTTATGTCTCCAGAATATAGAGGTTGATGGACTGTCTTATAAGCTGGAAGGTCTGAAAAAATTCACAGAATACAGTCTTCGATTTCTGGCTTATAATCGCTATGGGCCAGGAGTCTCTACTGACGACGTGATGGTGGTTACGCTTTCTGATGGTAAGTTATAGCCAGTAACACTTGACTCACATAGTTGTCATGTCACTTTTTTATGTCACTATTTCATGTCATATTTTATGTCATGTTTACACATATTTTATGTCACTTTCACACCATAATCAAATAATATGGTGTCTGTGTTAGAGATTTCATTTTCAAGGTTTCCCAACTAAAACTTGTTGGAATATATTAGCATACATTAGAATTTGAGCTACTTCACTCAAACTTTTACGCTCACATTTAAACTTTCAGAAGACAGGATGTCCTTACAGGTAATCTTCAAATGTGACTACTGCCCAGAAGCTCAAACTTATTTTTTTTGCATTTTTTCCTCTATTTCTTTTATCACAAACACATTTGGACTATATTCATTGGCATGTTGCTTTTATTTCTCATTCTTAAAAAGAGTAGATGATCACAATTTTAATTGATGGAAATTCTCCATATTTGCCTTCATTTGAAAGTATAGCATAAAGATTTAGGCCAAATAATTCAACACGGAAAGTATTACAGCTGCATATAAAACATTTACACTTAAATTGTCCCATGCTAACAAATAAAAGATTACACATATATTTTTAAATTTCATAAAAGAGAGGAAGAAGACTTCATAAAGAGGATAGACTAGACAAAACAGTAGAAGAGTAAAATATAAGTATAAGAAATGGATAATAATGCAATGGGAAAGTAAATAAAAGTGAAAATAAAGTACAGCAGAGTATAGGATGTGGGGTCAGTGAAAATTCAGGCAGGTGTAGAAATTCAAAGATGTGACCTCCATGAATATTTAAAAGGCAATAAGCTATTTCTCCTCAGCACTGGTTTCCATGTTGGTATGTGTAATTCTATAAATTATTAATCTTTGAATTTAAAAAAAAATGACTTTAGCTCATGATTCCTTGACCAATCCACTACTCTTTAATCTGGAAAAGTATCCTGGCCTACATTTCACACAACATCAGTGGGATGTGAAGGGCATCCATGTCATTAAGGGTAGTGCAACAATGACACATGAGTAAAACTCATTTGCAATCCATTTTTTAAAAAATGTTCTATGTGTGACACCTCTTCATTTTTAATGTAATTCTTATGCCCATCCAACTGATTCTGTTATTGAAGACAGAACAGAATATTTGTTGGCAGAATAAATTACTTCACAACTTATAATTATAAAAAGAAAAGAAAAACAAATGAAAATTAATATTTTGCATAATTTATGGAGATTTCATTCACACTCTGAACTATAAGACAGTGGCCTTATTTTCCATTTACGTTTTAAATGTCATAGTGAGAAAGATAGATTATTACTCATTAGTCCAAGAATTATCACTCAGAAATGTTAATGATAATGGAATTGTAGAAATTTAGGAGTTAGAAAATGCCTGTCATTATATCAAAGGATTTCATGATCCTTACCCAACAAGCAACACTGTGCAAGGGACCCCAATTTTTCTCTCTCAGATACATTTGAAGGAGAAAAAGGAACTTCGTGACCCTCTCATGTGGGCTCCCTGAACATGCCTGCATTCATCTATACAGTCTAATCATGTTTCCAACAAAAAACTCTATACTTTTGGCTTCCATTCCCTATCACCCAGTCCCTTTCTCACCACTTCAGCATGATGTCTTCTCCTCTACTGAAGCTGTGCATGGTGAGGTCATGATATGTACTTAATCATACAGATATGTATTTAATCGCATTTAATAGTCACCTACTTCCCATTCCCAGGCAAGCCCATTTCTCCTTGATTAAAAGGGAGGCTTGAAAATTAAATAGGCTAATTCATGTAAACACCTAAAACATGAGCATGGCATGTATCCAAGTATTTACTAAATGTAATCAATGCCAATGTGTGTGTTCCTTTCTCGATTAATAGCAAACATTGCTATAGAACAAATTTTCTACTTTCCTTCCTGACTAAAGCAAGAATAGTCAGTGTGCTATCAATGGATAGTAAGAGAGATTTATGTAGTCAAAAAATAGATAAAATACATCAACACTGTGGTATAAACCCACTTTTAAGATTTTGTGGCTTTCAGTCCCCAGTACAGAAAATAATATTGATACTTATCAAGTTGTAGTGGTTAAAAAAAAATGAATATAGGAATCCTTTCTCATATATGTTGGCTTTCTGGAAATACTATTTTGAAACTTACATTAAAATGACAATTGAGGGTTATTACTACCTATCAACTAACCAGTACCTAGAAAAAAATGTGTGGTGATTTTAAGTAAATTTATCCTTACTCCAAAATTCATTCATCTATCATAAATCCATCTTACAGAAATTATATTCTAAAATTAATTGTGAAAAAGTGGGTTAACATGATTAGTATATGACATGTAAATATTACTCTATCATGTGGAATATAATTTTATTAACCAATGTGACCCCAATATATTAATTAAATAAAAATAAAAACAATATACCTACCAACTGGCTAAAATTTTAAAAATTGAAAATCCCCAGTGTTGGTAAAGATATAACACACCTGGAACTTTGCTACATTTTAGTAGGAGTGTAAACTAGTACAACCACTTTGGTCAAGTTTATATCTATTGAAGCTTAGCATATTTCACCCCCTATTGGGGTTTGCACTTTGCCAGTATTTCTGCTCTTTGGTATATAATGAAGGAAATGAGAGCAATTGTCCATCTAAAGACATGTGCAAGAATATTAGGCAGATTTAGTCTTATAGCCTCCAACTGGACATAGTCCAAATATTACTTGTCAGTAGTGTGGAAAATATAAAACAGAATAGTCATATTCTATATTGTAATACTATGGAATAATTAAAAAATAACAACAGCCCTAGCCAGTTGACTCAGTGGATAGAGCAATGGCCTGTGGATCGAAGGATCCTGGGTTTGATTCAGTCAAGGGTATGTACCTCTGTTGCAGGCTGCTCCCCAGCCCAGGCCCTGATCAGGACTCCTGCAGGAGGCAACCAATGAATGCAGTTCTCTCACATCAGTATTTCTCTCTGTCTCTCCCTCTCTCTTCCACTCTATCTAAAAATCAATGGAAAAATATCCTCAAATGAGGATTAAAAATAAAAAATAAATAACAACAACAAGCAAACAACAGAAACAAAAACTATTGCTCCATGCAATAACATGGAAGAAACTGATAATGAGCAAACTATGCAGCCTGGATAAAAAAGAACTCTGCTTTCTTTTTTAGTAAGCTCAACAAGCTAAACTAATGATGGAGTTAGAAGTCAGAATAGTGGTACGACTGGGAAGAGATGCAAGCGAGCTCCAAGGGACTATAAATGTTCTATTTCTTGACCTCAGTGATATTTAAATAGGAACACACAGACAACTTTGTCAAGTCATACATGCAAGACTTGTGCATTTTACTATACATATGCTATAACTTAAATAACTGTAAGACAAAAGCTTGTGAAACCCTGAATATGAAAAAATATTTTTAAATATCTTACAACTTTTCTCCAACACCTATTGGCTGAGTGCGCCTGATAGGCTGGACTCCTGTTGATACTGGGGATGTAGTAGCAAAAGGGACAAAAATTCTGACCTCTGTGGGGCTTATATTTTATATATTATAAGAAAATTATAATATGAATGGAAACAAATTAAATAACATCTATTTTTTAAATGACGAAATATATTTTAAAGATATTTGTTGGTGTAACACATGAAAAACAAGTGTCCAGTGAACAACTTATCACAAGCTACATTAGCTATAGTCTTTATCAAACAATAAGACAAGTTAAAAATTAAAACAAAATAAGTGGTTACAATTCCCATCCTGTCCAGAAAGGCCCAGGAGCTAAGATTTAAATAAGTAAATCATTTGTTTATTTAATCATTGAGTTATTTGTTAGATGTCAGATTAGAGGATATAATAATAATACATATGTCATACCATTCTGCTGATTATATTTCAGAAGCTAAAATCAGAGTATAACATAATTAAATTTTGGGTCAATCATAAGTAACCTAGTAAAATATAGATATTGTCCATGTTTAAGTATAAGAAGAGGGAGCGTGACAAAAAAATTATTGAAAATGCTAAGAGCATTTCTTCCCTGGGAAATTCACCTATTCATCCTGAAGAAGGAGAGGTACTACTCATTTTATGGATTAATATATATAAAGCATTTATTAACTGCTACTTCTATTTCTATTGTGGGACAGAGAGCTTTATTTTTTTATGATTCACCTAAGACCTCTAGAATAGTGGCTGACTGACTGCAGAACAGCCATCGTGGCAATGGTTGTCTTTGAATTTCTCACATGCTAGACTGTTTGCTTTTTACTATAGTAAATATTCATGATACATATTGTGGAGGAAACTGTGTATGTTCTTCCTTATTCTATGAAGGGGGCAATCAAAGTGCCGGCAAGAGAAACAAAATTCCCAGAAAATCCACAAAGCAAAATAAACAGCTCCTGTGTTAACAGAATCAACTCACCAGATGCCATTTGGGAACCTGCATCTGTGACAGGGGTTTAATCACGTACAGCTGAAAAAAAGGGGGAGAGGAGGTGTATGTCTTCTTTTCACCTTTTAAGAGATAATAAAGGTTGCATTAAAGGGATTGAGCAACACAAGTGACCATTAGAATGACGCATTTCATCCTAAAACCATGCAGATGCTGAAATGCACCGTATCTTAAGCTTTTAAAGCCACTCTAGGAAACCTCCTGTGTGTTTGTATTGGTTGCCTGGGAAGGTTATCTCAAGAAAGCTGTAATTAAATGTCAGTGTTTGGTATCAGGGCAGGTGCTCTCTTGCCTACTAGTATTTGGGGCTCCCTAGACAGGTAGCTGGCCCACCAAGTGAGTAGAAATAAGCAAATCCAGGGTGCCTGTGTTTAAAACCTCTCCAGGAAAATTTTAAAGTGCCACCCACCTGGATCAACCTACCTGCTTGTCAGTATGAACTGGGAAATATGAACTGAGTGATACAGTTTCTCTTTCCTGACCTGGCAGTAACCATCTCACCTTGTTTTATTCCTTTTCAGTGCCGAGTGCCCCACCTCAGAATGTCTCCCTGGAAGTGGTGAATTCGAGGGTGAGTTGTTGAATGTTCACTGTTTTGTTACCTGTAGACACACAACCTTTGTTCACTCATCCACTGTGCAGGCTGAATGGTGTCCCCATGTAAAGAAATGTCCAGAAGGGTGCAGTGAGTGTCATTGTTCCTGCATTGTCTTAGACCACACTTGAATTCACTATAGAGGGAATGTGTTTACTTTTACACTCAATTTTGTAAGTGTTATAACCATGAAAGGCTATTCCATCAGGAAGAAAAAGTTCTCTTTACTGATACTCCCCAGTATAGGACGTCATACTAGTATGCAAGCTGGAACAATTGAATATAGGAGTGAATAAGACAATTAAAAGAGAGGGATAAATAAAGGCTTTGTTTGCTGAAAGGTTAATTAGAATTGAATGCTTCATCATCATCTCTATGCTTTCCTTAAGTTATGTCTAAAGACAATGATGGCATTCTTGAGGTCTAAAAAGGTTGTATTTATGAAGCAACATCACCCAATGGCCAATGTTTCCTGACCCGGAATGTGGATATAATTTTCAAAAGGGCTTAAATTAGGCTAATTCTATGGGGGGGGGGGGGGGGGTTAACCTAATGCCAAAAATCAGTTTTCTAGAAACATCTCATTTCCAGTGTGTCTCAGGGTGGGAAACCAGTCCAAACCCTATAGAAGAGAGAAGCAAACAAGGATCGGATCAGTCTGGCTGGACTCTGCCGTGACCTGGGTGTGTGCTCTCTGGTTGTGTTCACTGTCCCTGGGCCTCAGTGGGATTGACCTCACTGGCCTCTAAGCTCTGGACACAGCAGGGAAATTCTGTGGGTCTTCGGGAAACTCATATTCAGGGGTTTAATCCTAGCTTTCTCTTTTAATATCTCTATGTGATCTTAGAAAACTTCCCAAACTCATCAAATGTCAGTTTCTCTATTCATGTTGTATGGGCAGTAACATCTTCCTTGTGGGTTTATCACAGGAAATAGTAATGTAACATATACAATAGGCCAGCTTAATGTCAGTAGCGACTACTTCAATCAATGTACATATCTTTGCCATATTTTGCAAAAATCTCTGATGCAGCCATATTCTGGTGACTTTGACCAGATTTTCCTCTTTCGTATGAATTTATCTTTTGGAACTCATGAGATGTCTCTAATATTGTTAGCCTCTTATATTTTTAGGCAGCGTATTGAATAAGAAAGAAGTAGTGAGATAAATTTAAAATCAGAATGGATGAAAATAAGTGAATTTGGAAAATAAACTAAAAGAAAATAACCAGGAAAAAACACATCACCCTAACAAAGACATTGTTTGCAGCAACAGTAAATGTTTTATAGATGCACCACTCGGATTAAGAGATTGCCAAAGTAAAGCCAAAAAGGTTCCTACAATTATTATAGGTTGTTATTGAATGAAATTTGGAAAGCATATTGTAATTCCTCTTTTTTTGAATGACTCATTTTATTAGCATTTTGTTCCACCTCATATCTTTCTTCTAAGACACAACATAGAAATTGGTATAAAGCTATTTCATATGTGCACTTGTATCCCATATAAGTCTACTCAACTATGGGTGAATGGTCTTGTTCTAAAATGTGAATGAGGCATTACTGAGTGACCCTGAATGACTGTTATTTGAAAATGGACTTATTACTTTCCTGAACAGGGAATTCCTAGATTGCAAAACTGACTTTTTCTGTCTATCTATCATCTATCTACCTACCTACCTACACACACAAGCACACACCACCGGGCATGGATTATCATATAGGTATAGATTTTTTAAGTGCAGAATATTGGATTACTCTCCTTATATCACAGCACACCTCTCTATTGTAGAAATCCTTATCCTTGAGCATCAGAAGCCTCTGTGTGGAAGTCATTGTGTTGCATTTCTGGGAGCTCTTTTACTGCAATTAGATGGTGTGTGTCCTCTTCTCTACAACAGTAGATTTTGTGGCTGGCTTCTTGCTGCATCACAAAGCGTCTCCCCTGTGTGTCAGCAGGATTTGGCATTTTACTTAATAATACACAAGCATGTATATTGACTATACCTTTGCTACACCACCAGCCAATCAGGAGTGATATGCAAATTAACCAAACAAAGATGGGGGTTAATTTGCATACACAGGCACCAAGTGATAGGGGCGGGACACAGGCGTTCTGCCCCACCCTTAGTCTCTCAGGGCCTCTGGGCAGCATGGGAAGGCAGAGCTGGAGCTGAAAGGTGGCTCCCAGAATGGAAAGAGTCAGTCTTCCAGTGCAAAAAGAGGCAGCTCCCAGGGCCTGAGTAGGAAGGGGCTGGGCCACAGTGGAAAGGCAGTGAGGCAGCCAGGGAAAGGAAAGCCCATTCTAGCACAAATCTGCATGCATCAGGCTTCTAGTGCTCAAATAACTTGAAAATTATTTTGGTGATCATATAATTCCCTTTATCCAGGCACTACCCAAAGGGAGAACTAAAAAAACTACTCCAACTCTAGACACCAAACTGTTCATTTTGGCCCCCAATGTTTTAACATATATATATATATATATATATATATATATATATATATATATATATACACACACACACACACACACACACACACACACACACACATACACACACACACACACACACACACACACACACACACACACACACTAGAGGCCCGATGCATAAAGATTCATGCAAGAATAAGCCTTGCTTCCCCTGGTTTCATTCCCAGTTGCCTGGGAGCCGGCAAGTCCTCATTTCCGTCAGGAGCACCACTCCTGTAGATCCCTCTGCCTCACTCCTTCTCCTCATAGCAGGCATCATGCCCCTTTCGACCACTCCTCACCTGCATAAGGAAATTAACCTCCATCTTGTTGGGTCAATTTGTATACTCACTCTGATTGGCTGTGGGCATAGTGGAGTGATGGTTAATTTGCATGTTTCTCTTTTATTAGGTAAGATTTTTAACATTACAGAGGGAATCTAAGTGTTGTTTCCTGGGATAACTAACCTAGACTAATACCATGCTTCTGAAGATGGGCTATGAAGGGGGGATTTAGCATGAGGTCTCTCCTATCCTTGGGTGAATGATACTTCCCTTTTCAACAGAAGTGATAGCCAAGTGAACAGCTGAGTGAGTCATTTGCATTTGACCCCATCTGCAATACCTACCAATCCTTAGGTACTGAGTGCAAAAGTGTGAAAATGAAGCAAAGGAGAGAAAAGGGAGGAAGGGAAAAACCAAGAGGCAATGTGAGTTATGATGTTACTTTGTGAGTGCTTTGCGGTTTCCTGTCTGAAATTGGGGTTGTCTTCTCTTGGCTGTGCAGAGGACACAGAATTCACATTGCTCCCTGCTGCACATAATTTTTTTGAAAACACTTCTGCACACAGGTGTTCTGGAACCATCCTGTAAATGGCCATCTTCCTATTTTATGTTCTTCAGAGGCATGGGCCTCAGATAGCTCGGGGGGGTGGGGGGGACAATCATAATTTGATTTCTTTCTGAATCATCCTACATCCTTTATAAAATACACTTTGGGACTGAGGTTTTTGGAATCAGAGCTCTGAGTCCTCCCCTCACAAATATAGTAGGTTTCAGAAATGGATTTAGTGCAGAGAAAGAAGCCATATGGGAGACCTGAGATGATTGGTTCCACTTAACAATAACTTAGAAACTGGCATTTGCTTACTGATGAAAAATTTAAATACAATAATGTTTATGCTCACAAACACTGGTATTTGTACTCAATCATAATACACAGATTTCTGTTTGAACACAGGGTCTGGAGCAGTTATCCATCAATTCAGTTCAAGGAGGTGTAGATCTCTGATGTTTATCTTATTGATCCCTTTATTGATCCATTGTGTGACTGTTCCTCGAGCATAGCTAATGTCCTGCAAATTGTGACTGAAACAGTTTTGTGGAGGATGCAAAAACAGGAGCAGAATTATAAGGAAGACAATGTTTCCTGATAGTTCTTATAAAGGAGTCTCCTGGTTTTGTCTAGAATTCTAGAGTAAACTGAATATACATTTTTATATTACACTAGAGGCCCGTTGTATGAAGATTCATGCATTAAGCCTTCCTTCCCCTGGCTGTCTACACTGGTTTTCCTCCAGCATCTGGGACCTAGGCCTTCACTCTGGCTGCCACCTTCCATCTTTGCTCCAGCTGGAGTCTTTGCTCTAGCTGGCTGGAGTCTTTCAGTCTTCTCTGCTCTGGCCAGAGCACCGCTCGGCTCCTGTAGCTCCCTCCCCTCCCCCACCCTCCCCCATATAGCAGGCATCCCACCCCACATGGCTGCTTAGTGTCTGTGTATGCAAATTAACCCACCATCTTTGTTGGTTAATTTACATACTCACTCCTGATTGGCTGGTGGGTGTCCCAGAGGTACGGTCAATTTGCATATTTCTCTTTTATTAGTGTAGCTTAAAATCTAAACTATATTACATGTAGTAATTCATGAGAATCCCTCAAAAGTAAAACTGTATTTGGTCTATAATTTGGTCCATATAGCTTAATATATATGCCTTTCTATTTATATTTATAAAAATTGATCACTATTTTATTGTGGTAAAATAAGATAACATGTATGTAAACGTTACCATTTTGACCATTTTTAAATATACAGTCCAGTGACATGAGTATATTCACATTGTTTTGTGACAATTGCCACCATCTATCTCCAAAACTTTTTATCTTCTTAAACTAAAATTCCCTGTCCTTCATTGTTGAGCCCATCCCCTCCAATTCTCTTGGCCCTGGCAGCCACACCATTCTTCTTTCTGCATTCTGACTTTATAAAAGAGCGAGAAAATGAGTTCATGGACAAAAAATTTGTTCATTTGATCTTACTAAAAAAATAAAACACTTTTATCATGCATATTCGTAGATATGTTCTTCCTAAAGTATCATGGTACTTTCCCAAGCAATAAAGTCCACTGTTAGAGACACCAACATCTGTGAGAAGTACTTGCTTTAATTATGCCATGCTCAAATTATTTCTTTCTACAAAAGAATTTTACCTTAAATACTATCTTTACTATTTTTACCTTAAATACTATCTTTACTAAACTTACTTAAGTCCATCATATACACTGAGTGGCCAGATTATTATGATCTCTGAACTCATAACAATCTAGCCACTCAGTGTACTTCTCTTGAGTACCTCATTTATTTTATATCAAAGATACTATAAATCATTCACCTGATCAGTTTTCCCCTTTGCACTGGCTGATAAAAAACTGAGGGCAAATAGCTGATTGATCTCCAGCAAAAGTCTAGAATACTTTTGGTATCCATTTGAGATACAAATACACTGAGTGGCCAGGTTATTATGCATCAGAGATCATAATAACCTGGCCACTCAGTGTATATTCCAAACAAGAACAAAGTGGTCCATTAATTGAGCTACTCCCCAAAAACGGATATTCTCACCTGAGTTAATTTAAAACAGATATACAAATTGCATAGTTGTAGACAAGGGACCTGAGAGTTACCTATGCCATATATTACAGCAGCTGCATAAATGAGAGGCCTGATTAACTCTCCATGTCAATATGAGCTTTTCCTAATAAAAATAGGATTCGAGAAACTCTTTCTGGACTGATCTCATTTTCATATATCAAATACTTAAATACATCATATTTTGCTCTTTTGTGATTTGAGGTTATTGTATTTTGCCCTTTGCAAATTTATTATAGTCACAGCCAATTAGTATATCTGCATAAAGAATTTTGATGAAGAGAATGAAATATGTGATAGAATACCCTTCTCTTTTGAGTTCTAGCCCCACTTTAAATATCACCCTGTAATTTGTACTTCATCGCACACATTTCCAATGGCTGCATTTCTGGTTGGTTCCAAAGGAAACGCTCACTTTAGCCTTTCCATGAAGTTTAATGAGATTTCCCTCAAGTCATACATTTTTGAAAAGTGGGAAGTTGAATAATGGGCTTAAATTAAATGAACCTAGGCCTAGTTATAATGTCCCTGATTTTAATTTAGTTCATAGAAGTTTCCCTTATAGTTGGAATGCTTTACTAGTTAGAAGACAGGAATAGGTTTAGTTCTGCCAGTAAGTGGAAGCAGTTGCTAACCATGTGATTTGTGTGCAAAGAAGTGGAAATGTTTGCCTAAAAGCGAAAAATGCAATTCATTAATGTAGCTTTAAAAAATGTTGTTTACATTTGAAAACAACTGTTTAAATA